CTTGTGCAAGGACGAATGGTGAGACAGGCATACAACTGCACAGAAAAAAGGGGAGTGATAACTACAACGGCAGCTACATAGTCGAAAAGCTGTCAAATCTAGGAGTTTAAACAAAAATACAGGAACAACCAGTTTGGGGATCAGTCTAATGAACCTGGGTCATTTAATCATGCAGCATTACGAGAGGCAACGCATTCATTCATAGCATGGTTTATAGATTGCTAAATATAAAAAGGTTCTGTATTTTGATGAATTTACCTTTGAAGACCCTTCCCCCACTTTACTATTAGACCTGAACCGTATAATATAATGTCCGGTTAAGAAGCTGTAAAGCACCCTTCCCCCATCTATCAGCTTCTACCACCTCCCCCCTGAAATAACTCCTATGGCAAGCCATGTCAATATTCAAAACTAACTAAATACAACTATATATTTTGATGTCACTAGTACTTATTTTTATTTAATAGAAAGTAGTGCAATAGGGAACACCTTTTTTTTTCCCAACAAACCAGTTTTCAGTTTTACTATTAATTTAGTACCAGTAAATATTTTGTTGCTAGTTAGTAGTATCTATTCCAGTTTTCCAGTTTGAATGACAGATTTCCACAGAATTCAATGGCAAAAATTATTGATTTGTTAACTGTAACCATGGCATAGACCTTAGGGTCGACGCCTAGGCCTGTCACGATAACAACTTTTTGTTGTGCGATATATATTGCGCCAGAAATAATTGCGATAAGCGATATTATTGTCATTTTAAAGGCCATTTTATGCCACAGAATATATCATCATAATAATGCAAGAAGGCCTACACACTTCCAAATGACAACAAACTTTACATTTTTAAGAATATTTAGATCATGGAAATTAAGTATCAAAATATTAGATACCTTAAAAAACCTGAATAAATAGTAAATAAACATTTTCTAACAAAAAGTGCAAAGTAACAAGTAGAAAAAAAAGAAAAATGCACAAAGAACTTGTATGCAGATTTTTCCATCTACAGATTTTTCCCGGACCTTCTTTTCTCTGTAAATTAAGGGTGCACACTATTGCTGAAAAACACAGTCACTACTCAGCAGTCAGATGTTCGTATGCACAAAGGCACAGATCCCTAAACAAGGCCATATCTGCAGATGAAACTTTTTTTGTAGAAGTTTTTTAAAATTTGAACTAGCACCTCATGACTAAACGTTATGTACGAGAAGCTGCAAAAGACACTGCCGCAAGTGGAATGTACAAAACATGGTGACATTAATTTTTATGTAAATATAATGGGCGATATATTGCATCACCAAAAGTTATTGCGATCATGTACATATATTGCGCGATAAGTCGATATATTGATTATTGCGACAGGCCTATCGACGCCATATTGAATTTAATGTATTTGAATATAAGGTTGTGAGTGTTAGACTTACAGCCTACACTCTTAAAAATAAAGGTGCTTCACGATGCCATAGAAGAACCTTTTTGTCTAAATGGTTCCATAAAGAACTTTTAACATCTGAAGAACCTTTCTGTTTCACAAAAGGTTCTTTGTGGCGAAAAAAAGGTTCTTCAGGTTATAAAAAGGTAAGAAAGAGATGGTTCTTTAAAGAACCTTTGACTGAATGGTTCTTTGTGGAACCAAAAATGGTTCTTCTATGGCATCACTTGAAGAACCTTTTGAAGCACCTTTATTTTTAAGAGTGTATGCAATAGCTGAATAAAGCCCTAAATCATAAATTTTATTATAATTTTCATATAACTTTCAAATGTTTTTTGTGGAAAGATGTTTCATCAGAACAAATGGCATGTTTTTACACATCAGCATAAGACTTTGAACACACTGTAATTCTATTCCTCGTAGGGCTGCCACTAACGACTATTTTTATTTCGATTAATCTATCGACTAATTTACCAATTAATCGATTAATCTAAACGATTAATTTCCCACAAAAAAAAATCAACAATTTTAAAGAACATTTTACTTGCAACTTTGCCATTCAGTAGTGTACCATAAAAAAGTATAAATGTAAACAAGCCATTGACGAAATGTAAAACTAAAAGAGTAAAAATGTAAACAAACCTTATAAAAATGAAATAAAAAGAAAATAATTACAAATGTCTGAGAAAGTTAGCATGTTCTTAATGTCAATATATCCACATGTTCTGGGCTTCTGTTCATTACAGCTGTGAGTGCAACTACAAAGGGGAAAAAATATGTTTCAATTAACCCCAACAGTTGGGTTTTCACATTAAATAAATGCAATGTTTAGAGTCCACTAGAATCAAGTATTAATTTTATTCTTAAAAGTTATTATTATTAAAAATGTAAAGTATTAAAAGTACACTTAGAAATGTGTAAACAACAGATTTAAACAGACATCTCCAGCATGATGAAAAAAAATGAACAGAGGACTTCAGTAGTGAAACTCCAAATTTCTATGAAATCCTTTTTTCTTTTTTTTTCTTTTTAAAGTAAAGTGCAAAATAGAGTGCAAGAAGCAAGTGTCCATCTCATAGTCCAAATCACTGAAATCAAAGTTCAGTATAGTGTAAGAATGACATGTCCACGTGTTCTGGTCTACTAATAATAAAATATAATAATTAATAATAATTTTTTGTAGTAATAAAAATAGATTTAGGTTAAGTGAACAATAGCCTTTAAATTTACTTAAAATACATATATAATAGCAATGAGGCAATAATAATTATAGGCGATTCGTCGATTCTATTCGACTTAAAAAATCCTCGACTTCATTTCGCATGCGTCGACTAACCGGCAAAATACTGGAAGTGGCGCATTTCACGGACGAGAATCCATAAAACACATTATTAGACTATTTTCCAAGGCCTCATGATATATTAAACCGTTTAAAAATCATAATTAAGCATAACTGTGAACTCACAAACGCTACGATTTAATTAAATAATTATATGTGATGCAGTTATATTCTTACACTATAATACTGAACTTTGATTTCAGTGATTTGGACTATGAGATGGACACTTGCTTCTTGCACTCTATGTTGCACTTTACTTTTGCTTTTAAAAAGGATTTGGATTTCATTTGGAGTTTCACTACTGAAGTCCTCTGTTCATTTTTTTCATCATGCTGGAGATGTCTGTTTAAATCTGTTGTTTACACATTTCTAAGAGTACTTTTAATACTTTAATAATAAAACTTTAATACTTGAGTCTAGTGGACTCTAACCATTGCATTTATTTAATGTGAAAACCCAACTGTTGGGGTTAATTGAAACATATTTTTTCCCTTTGTAGTTGCACTCACAGCTGTAATGAACAGAAGCCCAGAACATGTGGATATATTGACATTAAGAACATGCTGACTTTCTCAGACTTTTGTAATTATTTTCTTTTTATTTAATTTTTATTGGGTTTGTTTACATTTGTACTCTTTTAGTTTTACATTTTGTCTATGGCTTGTTTACATTTATACTTTTTATGATACACTACTGAATGGCAAAGTTGCAAGTTTAATAAATGTTTTTTTAAATTATAGATTTTTTTGGTGGGAAATTAATCATTTAGATTAATCGATTAATCCATAAATTAGTCGATAGATTAATCGAAATAAAAATAGTCGTTAGTGGCAGCCCTATATAATTAGTTCAAATAAAGTATCAAAAGCAAGAAATCATATAGTTTTATTGAACAAAACTGTTAAAATACTGTATTATAACGTAATAGAGCCACTGATCTATATATAATTATAAAATAATATAATATAATCTCTATTAAAGATCAGTGAATAGAGCTAATGTACAGTACGCATTACAGCAAAGGCCTGCAGGGGGCACCAACGGTCTGGCGATTGTTTTTACACATTACTGTGCGATCTAATACTAGTTTAATATTTACCAAGCATCATTTAATTCAAATGTCCACTTAATCTTTAATATTTGGCCATTTCTTTATGACAGAAATGCTATAGCCACTGTAATTTAATGAATATGTGGACATCAAAACGTGTAAACTCAGAGTGAGGGTTTGAGCTTTCATTTTGAAACCGCAAGATAATGATGTATTCTCCTGAGTTTGCGTGGATTCATAAATGATTTACCTTACAAATCTGATGAAATGGCGCACGTTGCGTTCCCAGATGAACGTTATAATAAACCCAAACTCACAACAACATGCACAGATGGAGTTTGAGCCGCTCCACACATGTAAATGATAACAGCTCCTGTGGAACAGCATTTATTGTGAACGGAGCCGCTGTGAGACGCACGTACGTAACCTACACGCCCATAACTGCATCACATATAATTATTTAATTAAATCGTAGCATTTGTGAATTCACAATTATGCTTATTTTATGATTTTTAAACGGGTTTAATATATTATGAGGCCTTGGAAAACAGTCTAATATTGTGTTTTATGGATTCTCGTCCGTGAAATGCACCACTTCCGATATTTTGCCGGTTAGTCGACGCATGCAAAATGGAGTCGAGGATTTTAAAAAATCAAATAGTTGAATAGAATCGACGAATCGCGACAGCCCTAATCCTTCGGTCTCATTTTCATTCCTTTCCAAAATTAAATGTCACTACCCTGACTTCGGTCTACATTGTCAATATTAGCAAAACAGTGACAATACTATTTTGAATGTTAAATACTTGAGCCTAAAAGGATGACTAGTTTGTTTTAAGAAACAAATGGCTTGCCACACTCTCAGGTCCTAAAGGTCCTGTCTGTCCTAATGTAATGACTGAAATATACATGCAGTGTTGTGGTCATGCTCTCCAATTACCTGCCTGTTTTATTCATTCATGAGGAACTGACAGATTTTCAGTACATCAGTGATGATGGCACAGATAAAACCCTCTGGGCAAAGCCAGAAACGGGAAGCGTTCACTCTGTAGAGCGTGGATTCGACTGTAGCAGTGCTTTATTAAATTATATATTGTTGTACTAAGACATGAAACAGCAAGCATGCGCATACACAGCATGGTAGCAAGAGCCGTGGTGGCGGTGGAAGGAAAGAAGCTTACCGGCAGCCGCCCGGAAGAGGTCCGCACCGGCTTAGGCTCCGGCCCGTGGGGGGTCGCGTACAAACAGTTGGGTCTCTGCTCTGCAGCTGTCGTGTTCCCGATCTGAGTTAAGTATCCAGCCGGTACCGAATTCATCAGTGGGCTTGTGAGTCCCGTGTTGAACAAATCTGTCCTCACCGCGGAGAACATTTTCTTTTGTGGGCACGAGAGTCCAGATACTGCGCCTCTTCCAGAAGAAGGAGAAATCCCTCTGGGTATCCGCATCATTTTGCGCACGAAATGCACAAAAACCCGCGAAAATGACTCTTTTATTACGCAAATCGCGTCTACTATTTACTGCAGAAGGAATCAACCGTCAGAATGAATATTTATATCTTAAAAGACTGCAAATGATACAGACAACATGCACTTGAGTATAATAAATACTGCTAGAAGTTGTAGATAAATCCGTGAAAACTAAAAAAATATAAACATCCGAAATAAACAAAACTCTCTCCTAGGGTCCTTTGTTAGTGGCACGACAGAGGCTATTACGTCTTAATAAACTGCAAATAAATTAAACATGTATTAAATGTACCACAGTCATTCAGGTTCGTAAATCTACCTTTCAAAGGTAAACAACGCTTGGGAATGTTCCTCTTGTAGTTCTTGCGTCGAGCCGGCTATTGTGAGAGTTCCTGTGTGTCTGTAATCCCTCTCCGGCCGAGAAGCTTTGCTTTGACATCAGTTCAACAGAGGAGTGCTATTTTAGCGCCAAATTACGTCCCGCGAAATTTGGATCTCCCGCGGTTGGACGCGCTCCGTGATTGGCTGCTGGCACGCCGCGCTCGTCCGGATTCTGAATATATTTACATGTAACAGTTGGTGCCTAGCGTTCTTCCTCTTAAAGAGACAGCGATAGTCTGTCAAATGTATATTTAGCATATAGATGTATTTTTTAGAAATATATTTAATAAAATACATAAAAGTGACGTTTTCACACAAATTAACTCATCATATAAAACAATCATCAAAGCATTTACACAGATAAAATACAACACAAAGTAGAAAGAGGTCTTTACATTATGCCCATTGTGTTTCCATGGTTTCCAAATCATTCATTGTCATAGATTAATCTTAAATGTTAATGTTTTTCAACAGCAAAATGGAACAATGGTTGAGTCTGGCATGGCCTGACTCCATGAAAAGTGACCTAAAGGGAAAACGAGAGCTTTAAAGCCCTAAACAGCCCCACAGAAAAGAACCTTTACACTTGAAAGGATCTTATCCTCTGGCACAAAGAGTGAACCCCCACCATGCTTCAGATGATTGTTAAGAGTCTTTTGCCCAATGATGGCTTTACAGTGTTTCGTTGAGACACAGTCCTTCCTTCCAAATAAACTACGGCCGTGGAGCATTTTTTTTAAACAAGTGCAAACGAATATGACAACAGCACATACACATAAGAGTGAGATGGTGATTCTGATATGGATACGCCAACTGTTTGATTAGAAACATCTTACCACATAGCAAGATTATTATAATTATCCAGTCGCCCACAAATGGGCTCTAGAGATGCAGTTGTTTAAAATTAACCAGGGCTTGGGGAAAATATGTATATACAAAATATGAAGGCACCGTATACACAAAATATGAAGGCATTAAATGCCCTTTTAGTGAATTGATTTTGATGAATATATACATCATCTATCATCTATCTATAGATATGTATGGGTTTAGCGCCTCTGCAGACACTGTGGTGACCTGTAATGTGCTTTTAAATAAAAAATATTTCTGAAAGCACTGAATACCCCCAATACATACATAAAAATTAGATTTAGCAATCTAATAGATGGAGCAGGGTTTTTGTTTTTGTTTTTTTGAGAAAGCAAACATCAAACAAACAAAAATGAATAAATAAAAAAATTCAGACTAACAAACTATAAGTCTATAATGTGAATTTTTTCAGTCTGAGTAAAGGATTCCTGCAGAACATTTATTATGGTATGATATCTTTATTGTTACATTTGTAAATAATTGTATAGGTAACAGCTAGAATTGCTCAAACTGGAAACTGACTTCTGTTCATTAACACATTTGAATTATTTAACAAATGACATACTGTGTTTTGTTTTATGATTCAAAAGAAAAAGGGGGAAGGGCTTCTCAAATGTCAGTTCTAAAGGGCAAACGTTGTTATACTGGGAGACCAAAGCAGCACATAGGCTATTCTTAAAATGACAAATGAAATTTCTACTTAGACATAGGCTAGCTAAATTAGGTACTAAGGTTAGACATCAGATGCCAAAAGAGTGGATTATCTATAGTTATATAGTGAACAAAACGAATGTTTCAGACTAACAAACTGTAAGATAAGTCTATAACGCGAGTTCTTCCATGTCCCAGTCAAGGATTATTAATATATTCGTGCATTTGTTTGCATTAAACCCGTGGCAAGGTTGGTGTCGTGTGCTGTTGTCTGCCCTCTTCTGGTGAGACATGGATATGCACTGGATTTCTGCCATTTCTTCTTCTTTCTTTTTTTTTAAGTGGGTTTTTGGTAAATCCATGAAACAAAGTCAGCGGTTAACACAAGCTCAAGATATTTTCACGTCTTATTCTACGACAAAAAGTAGGCTACACCAAGTGTACATGTGTACAAGTTTTACTTGTCTTGAAAAACGAGATTGCTAAGTGCCTAAATGAGACCAGGGCCGTCGCTAGGAATTCTGGGCCCTGAGCTCTGAATTTACTATGGGGCCCCGGCCCCTCAAAATCACGTTCAGCATTTTAACTCAACCATCAGGGGAAATGTGTTTAAATAAAGACTGAAAGAGCTGTCGGAAGCTTAACTGTGTTGACGTTAAATAGCCTACATGCCGACAGTGTGTTGTTCGTTTGTAGCCAATACATTTTTAGCTTTTAATTTAGGCTTCAAAATTGATTACATTTTGTTAATTTGTGAAGGATATCATGATGAACAAAATGTGTAAAAAGCATACACTTTTATTAGTCAAATAGGCCTAGCTTTCTCTGCAATAATCCAAAAGCCAATGGAAAACAGGGTGATGCCGGGCTGGCTTACAAAAATACAGGCATTCATTACTGAAGCACTCAGAACCATAAACTTCTGAAAGACCAGACAGAGGATAAAAAAAAAAACTCACCATCGTCAGACTTTACTTATTTGAACAAAGTAGAACATAAAGGTGAATGAGAGTATATTGCATTACTACAGTAGAGTTTAGCTTTCATAATGTTTAATTTATCCCTTTATTAGAGAGCCTGAATATTTTACAAATTTTTACTAAACATAAAAATAAGGAAGAAGTTGTGACAAAGAAAATAGCTCAGTAAATAGTTTAGAGTCAAAAGACTAGTAACACAAATATAGGCTTCTCTAGCTGGGTATTATATTTTGTTTTCAAATAGCTAGTTCAAAACTATTTGAACACAACCACGATGGCATACATTCAGACATGTGTAATTTATAATAAAGGTAAAATTTGGATCCGTTATGGCAGTTTAACCCAAATATTTTGAAATCCTCTGTGATTGGGGCATGTTGTCACAAAAGGACCTGTTTTAAAGGGGTGTAACAGGTGACATTGAGGGTTTTGTTGAAACAAATTTATTGTATGTGTCTGTACTGAAATGTACAAAAATGAACCTATCCATAGAAATATTCGAAAAAATATTTGAAATACAAAATGCAACAGCTAGCCACTATATTTCATCCACATGCTGACCAACAATTAATTAACATATACCAGCCACAAGATAGCGCCAGTTCACTATCTGCTCTGCAAACGCAAACGTATATGTGATTATTACTTAAAACACTAGGTGTCGCTATATTGCCTGTTATGTTTGAAGGCGTCCTGCAGAACACTTTACATTACTCGACACCCACATCTTAAACCTTAAGTGTGTTGACGGTCAGCCTCTTAAGACCATAATCCCTCTTTTAGAGTCCAGATGAGATGAATACTAGTGCTTATCAAAGTTTGACCACAGACCACTTTTGCACTGAACTCTAGTTCTTTGGGCAAAGGTATTTTTTGATTGAATCTACAGACACTCAGAAGACAGATGTGCTATATTTAAATAAAGTGACTCACATTTAGACATTGCTGTTTAGGGCTGTAACAGATCATATGCTAAACACAAAAAAGTCCAAGATGACTCTATCTGGAAAGATTTTTGGCAGATGCACTGTACTTTTACTTTTTAACCATTATGTACTTTATCTTGTTTTTACTTACACATAGTCTTTCATAAACAATTTCTCTTTGGATTTTTTATCAAATGTCTTGAAATTGACTGCTATGAATGATGTTTCATATCAATTTATATATTAACCATATAAACAGCTATAGGGGAGATGGGGTGAAGGGAATCACTTTTTTCTTATTTTTTAAACAGAAAATATATGATATTTTCAGTATATCTCCATAAGACATATACCTGATGATTTAAAGGTGTCAAAAAGTCTGCATTTAGTTGTTTAAGAAAAGATACTGAACCACATATTTCTCACTTTCATGTATGATTTATTTTCTTGTGTAAAAAGAGTAAGTACAAAGCAAAAAAAACAATTAAAGGAGTTTATGAAACTCGTTGATCTGACAGTCTGTAGAAATAGATCATCCCCACAAACAAATACAATCCACTCTATATTATAGAGTTCATATCCTAATCCACGTCTGTATTCCCACTGCCCAAGGCCCTTCCCACCCTATAACACAAAAACTCCCCTCAAGCACAATATGTACATCATCCCAGTGATCGATGAAGCTCACTGAGACCAAACTGCAACCATGCTGAAATGCGAAAATGTTTTCAAGAAAAAAAAGGGTGGTGGTGGGGGGGAGGGATTTGGGGTACTCTCCAAGAATGGCTGGGAAGGAAGGGTGTGTGAAGAGATATTAGTTAGTCCAAATAGTCAGGAATGTAGCCAGTACAAAATATACAATGCTTGATTGTTGCCACAAAAAACAGGAATGATTAAGAAAAAAAATCGGAGGGCTTTTCTTTTTTTGTGATCTTAAAAACTCCTCGGCTTTGGTTTGTTCAAGTGTCCAGTGACCAAAGAATAGACAGCTCGAGAGGGGCGCAGATTGCTTTCCCACACTCTGAATAGAGCCTTACGCCTTCACCCGGCTCACCCCTTCACTCTCTTTTCTTCCATAAGTGGAGGAGAAAAGTTTCTATCCCGCACCTGCAGCATAGATGAGAGGGAGAAAAGTTAACTCAGAACACACACACACACACACACTTACACACACTCACTGTGGATTCAGGCGGACTGCAGACAGTCTGGCGCCAAATGGAAAACTTTCATTTGCTAGAGCTGATAGGGAATCCAAGCTTGTTTGCTGATTGGCACGATGACCAAAAAATTAGGAAACTGGACAGACTTTAATACGTGATCTT